CTGTAAAGCAGGCTGAATTATAGGTGGGAGAGCATACAGCTGAACAGGGAGCTGACATCAAAGCTCAGCTTAGAGGCTTCCCTTTCAAAGATAGGGGGTCTGGAGTACGAGTCAGAAAGCCTGATGGGAGCAACAATTCATAAATCACTGGTAGGAAGGGCCCAGACAAAATGCATGACCCCTCCCTTTCACCTCCCCTTTTTAAAATGTTTTGTAGAGAGCACTAGTTCTTTCAGTGCTAGCTGGATAAAACAAACGTGCTAAAAACTAGGGATGCACCGATAGAGATTTCTGGGGCTGATATGGGTAGCTGATTTTTAAGGAGGCGTATTGGCCAATACTGATTCTATTTCTGATACAGCTATATATAGCTGGTAAGTCTGTTGTGGTGGAAGGGGAGGGAAGCGGCGTGGGGGGGCAGATCAAAGACCCTGTGGTGAAGGAGGCACTGCCCAGCTGGGGCGGGGCAGGACATGAGACAGAACTGCAGCTTGTCTGGGAGGTGCGAGGGGGGATGGCTCCTGCTGCTGCATGCACCTTGGTGGGGGATGGAGGAAGGGCGTGTGCCCCCAGATCTGTGTGGGTCATGGGCAGGGGAGGCTGCAGCTGCGGGCTGGGATGGTGCCAGGCAGGCGGCAACAGCACTGGGACAGAGCTATGGGGACAGGGGCCCTTCATCCACCCCAAAAAAATCGCCGTAGCCACCCCATAGCCCCCATCCCAGTGCTGCTACCACCCACCCTGACCAGAGGAGTGGCGTGCAGCAGTGGGAGCTGCCCCCTTCCCTCATCCCTGCGCCCCTGGACAAGCCACGGCTCTGTCCCACACCCCCCTCTCCCAGCTGGGCAGTGCCTGCCCCAGCCCCTACCCTACTCCCTCCTCACTGCATGGGGCCTTGTTCTGCCTCCCCGTGCCCCTCCCCTTCCACCACACCAGACTTAACAGGCTGCACGCAGTTCTCCATGCTACCGGCTGTGCTCCTCACTGCCTACGTGCTGCGCTGTGGCTGCGCACATGGATGGGCCATTTATTGGTCAAATTATCAGCCACATCAAGCCGATTTCTGATACAGACAATTTTCTTTATATCGGTGCTGATCTGATATCAGACCTCTACTAAAAACCTGCATGGATGCCTCACTCCCCACAAAACAGGGAGGTCTGCGGTCAGGATGCGAGCCCTTACGTCTCACCTGATCAAATAGAGCTCGTTGTTCCAAGGATAGACGTTCAAAACAGGCCCAACACCAATCATGTGATTGTGACAGCCTCCTACATTTTCCACATACTCATGCTTCAATGGCACCTTGCTGAGCAGCTCAAAAGATTCAGGAGCTTGTTGGAGCACCTTCTCTGCTGCGTAGAACCCATCCACAAGCAGCGTCCGGCCACCTGTCCCTTCATGCTTGAGGCAGTGGAACACCTGGATGCTGCATGAGGTAAGAGAGAGACAAGACCAAAGGAAAAGCCAGTCAGTTCGTCATGTAGGATACACTGGATCCACACAGTAGTAATGACTCAAACACAGGGAAATGAATCTGGAGAGGATGAAGTACGTGAGGAGGCCAGCCTCTTTGGTTGCATATTCCGCTTAATTAGGCTATATCTATTCACTGGTGGAGGTAGCATTAGTGAATGACAGCAGATGCTATTTCACCAGGCCTAGTAGTGTACATTTCACTTAATGGGGACAGAGCCAACCAATGCAAACAGCTAAGTGGCATTTAATACTAAGGCAGTAATTGTGAAATGCTAGACACAATCTTGATACCAGAGTTGCTCAATAAGAAGCATTTGGTGTAGTGTTTTCTTCCATCCTGCATATCTCACAATTAAAAAATTAAAATAGCTTCTCCTGAAAACAGAATGTTCAGGGCCTTGGACGAATTAAAAAGAATTTCTGGTATTACAGTTTTTATGAAAGTTTTCACTGGATCAAATTGCTCTGGAGTATAAATTATTCACAATCCCAAAATATTTACCTTGGACTAGAAAGTTCAACAAGCACAAAGCTAACTTCTAGAAGATGCCTTCAAACAGTTTTGGTAAAAAAACCAAACAAATAAAAAAAAGTAAACGGCAAAGGAAAGAAAAATTCAAAATGAAAAATTAAAGCTTCATGTAACAGAAAACACAAACCTCTTTCTCTTGGCTACCTACTGTATCCATATCACCACAGTATTTAAGTTCCTTACTGTTTTTAACCCATGCCCTCACAACACCTCTGAGGCAGGCCACTGCTATTATCTCTGTTTTGTGTATGGAGAATTGAGGCATGGACATAAGTCATTAAGGAAGCCTGCTGAAAAGCAATATATTGGACCTTAGTTTCCTGAGTCCTGGCTAATGTCCTCACTCCAGGGACATGCCTTCACAAAATATTAGGAGTGGAACTGCTTTGCCAAGGTCACACAAACAATCTAAACTCTGCCCCTCTAGCAGAAGTTTATCTTGCACCTTTCTTTCCCTTCCCACGACTTTGCAAGATGTAGCCCTCTCAGAGCACCTTCCAGATGCACAGAGCCACTATTGACCTTTTCATGGGGTAACTATTTCACCCATGAAATAACCTGCATCACTTTCTGCACTTCATTTTCCCTGAGGGTGTCCTTTCGAAGCACAGACCAGTTCTGATTCACTGCATGAAAGGATGGGTAGGGTCTATTCACCAGCAGTTTAACCTGGGCATTGACTGCATCCTTATCTCCACAACAGGCTGCAAAAGACTTGAAAACTAGGCCTAGCCATTCAAAGGCAAGCCTTCTGATACTTGGGAAGAGGGCTACTGACGGACCATAGGGACTACAAGAAGAAAGAATGCTGACACTGACTTTCAAAAGTACAGTGCCTTGCATACTCTAGTGCCCACATATAAACCTGCCTGCTTAGTTTATGCTACCATGGCTTAAAATAATGCTGCAGTCTATGCAGAGAGACATGTTTAAACCACAGAAAAAGCTTTCTTTCAAGACTTTAGGGAAAAGTATAAAATAGCTAATGGGCTATTGGTCCTATTGAGTACATAGTAATAAAAGTGACTGTTAATGACTTTTTTTGTATTTGTCTTGGGGAGGGGGGGGGGAACGTACAAAGCTCTGGTGGAGACATACAAGAGAGGGCCTGCAAATAACACTGCGATGTTCACAGAATGCAATAAAGCAGCCTTATTCCTGTGTCAAAGTATGCCAGCACAGCCCGTTGTATGCAAACACTTCCATCCCACAACTGTAGCATACTAATAAATTGTTATTAATTTTAAAACTCTGGTTGTTATGCAAGTAACTCTGCCACCTCAAATTTTTATATTAAAATGGCTGTGGAGGTACTTGGGATGTGAACTAGGAATCCTGACCTCTATTCCAGCTAGCACTTTTTGTACTGGTCTTAAGTGGTGCTCTGCAATTCAGAGATTTCTTTCTCTTCCTCGCCTTTCAAAAGCTCTTCCCTGCAGCCATTACCCTCTAAGATGGACAGTTGGTACTCAAGGTCACTGCTCTTTAACAGCTTCTCCTAGTCCTCCTCCAGAGATGGATGTTACCTCTGCAGTCCTTGCACTTCTCTTCAACAAAAACAAATTAAGTAATCAGATCTAGGCCTCCTCTGTAACTGTGTGTGTATAACCACCATTAGGCCTTCCACTTTCCTCTATCAAACAGGGCACACATGTATTACAAAGGCTACCTGGATGACTGGCACTAATCCATACAATTGCATGGTTCACTTTCATCATAGAAGGATTTGAAGAGAGTACCTGGTCACCTGGGAAACAAGAAGGAATTTGCCAGCAGCCAAGTTTCAATAAGTGTATGTTCCTGAAAGACCAAAAAGTTTCAGGTGGGAAAAAGGGGAATAAAGCATGCTATCAGATTCCAGAATCACATAGGATTTCAGTTCAGCATTGCCATATAATGGGAACATACATGTCTTTTTAATATGTTGTTAGAGTCAATCAACCCATTTAGAGAAAAATTCTACCACTCAAATGTTTTCACTAATGAATTGCTCCTGCCTTTTCTGTTGTACCTTTGGCAAGCAGCACAAGCACATACCCACAGGGTTCCTGGAAGTAGGTGGTGTCAGTGTGACGATCCAGAGCCAGTTTTGTGTATGCGGTGTCTCCCCGGGAGAAGTCAGAGGTGAAATACCACATTCGACCATAGATGGTCTCTCTATGACAGAAAAGGTGGGACACAAACAGGTGTATATCACAATGCAACTGGGGCAGCAGAAATTACTGTCAACCTTGCTGTTTTCTTAAGTATGTTTTCCCCTTCCTCTAAAATGTACTCCCATCCAGCCCTCAAAGAATTCAAATTATAGATTCGTAGATGTTAGGGTCGGAAGGGACCTCAATAGATCATCGAGTCCGACCCCCTGCATAGGCAGGAAAGAGT